ATGAGAAACTCCTGCTGACAGCAGGTATTTCTGTTTTATCTGAGAATAATTCACTGAGCAGATAATTGGTGAATTCCTAGTGGGAAAAATCTTGATTCTCTCTGAGCATAGGTTACCAAATGTACCACCATAAAATAATTGATTTTGTGATATATCAAGTAGGGACATAGTTGAGACTATTGAACTTTTCACTTAGGGCCTCAGGGTGAACTTGAACCAAGCTCCCAAAGGTGAAGATCCAGTGCTTGACATGTGCAGGGTTTTGCACTCTTAACAGCCTCTTTAACTTTCATTTTCTTCTATTAATCTACTTTCGCCACGATCTTGATGTGCACAGAGTCTCATTAAGATGGTTGAGTTGTCATTGGAGATAATCACCAAAGGAATGTGTTATAAAAGGAGAAAAAAGTATGTCTAGAAAGTCTGAATAATTTTTTTATGCTGTTGTTTTAGCGAAGAGGTTTTGGATGCTGATAGGAAAGTTACTATAGCTATAGGGCACATTTAATTGCATTTTAGAAACTTCTTTTAATCCTGTAATAACAAAAAATTAAATCAGTGCTGACATTTTTTTTTGTTGCCAGAAGAAGGTAGTAAAAGGGTAAAGAAATAATTGTTAGTTCTGAGAATATAATTAGCAACTTTAATGCTTTAATCTAAAAAATGCATATTTTGAGCCTGGGTGAATGATTAAAGAAAAGATATTGAAAGCCTTTGAAATTTCTTAACTGTTTGTTTTTAATTGTAAATTATGATCACTATAATTAGCTCATTTAGAACATTTATAATGTAAACAAATATGAATATACTGAGGTTCCGTGATATATTTCAGGGCAATAAGAGCAGCATTGTGACCCTGGGCTTTATTTATTAAGCCTTTCTTGTAATGTTTGGCACTGCTTCATTCTTTTATTCTCTTTTTTTCCTCCCCCCTTTTTTTTTCCTTGAAGATAAAAGAAAGCCATACATAAAGCTTGCAGGTCTCGGCTGAGGTCTCCGCGCATCTGGAACTACACTGAAGAAAATGCAGATAGAAATCTAGGCCTTTTTGGGCCCCATTAACCCTCATTCTGAAGCTTTCATACAGCTATAGCATAGAGCACATTAAAAAACTAATACTGCCTGCTTTCTTAAACACTAGGTCGTTAATACTGAGCAATTAAGCCAGTAAAAGGAGTGCTGTGTTTCAGGTAGCTTTTCTGTGCTGAGCTCCACGCAGAAAGATGTGGGTCTGGTGGGGGCTGCTCTGATCGCTGCTGGTGCCGTGAGCGCCGGGCTCTGCGGCCCAGCCGGGGCTCCTAGCCCGGAGCTCCTTGCTCTGTTACCCCCAAAAATGGAAACACTTCCCTTCAGTAACAGGATGTTTTCCCCCCACAAAGTTCAAAGATTAAAATTTTGGGTTTAGTCTCACCATTATTTTTATTAAAAAAAAAGGCATCTTTTGTTACATTTCCAGAGCTCAGTTATCATGCTGCGACACACTGCAGCCAGTTCCGATAAGTCATGGAAAGTTATGATTAGTTAAGCTCCTTATGAATAGAGAGGCTTCCCTGAAGGTTCAAACTGGCCTCCAACTTGAGATTTTAAATCATTGTTGAAGTGTTTTGACTAGGCTGCCTTTGTGTACACTAAACAGATTAAGGTTATTTTTAATCCAGTGGTGCCTGTTTTATGATGTACACTTGCTGTGGATGGTGTGGTGTTGTTTCATCACTGCTAGCTGTCTCCTTGGGATCCTTTAGTAACTAAGTTACTCTATCTCAGCGGAGTCAATTGTCAGTAACAAGCAAATAATAACTTTTCTGCTGAATTCTCAAGATTTGAAAAAAGAAGTTCCTTCCTGGCCTGTCATGCATCCCTTATCATATAAAACACGGTGTGAAAGTTGGTTGCTCTGTCCTTGCCCACTGAGCCTCAGGCGTTAAAACGTTTATAGCGTGAAGCAGAGGTCGAGGAGGTAGATCCTGCCATGTACTGTATTCACCATATTCCGTGGATATGTCCTGGCTGAAGGAAGCAAGCGGTGGTTATTGCAGCTGTCACAGTGACATGTGATATTTCAGTGTGCGTGATTGCCTCACCCGCCGCATGACCCTGATCACTGCAGTGATGCTCTGTCCACTATTAAACTGGGAGAGGTCTTAGCCCTCCAGGTGCTGTTTCAAGTCTGAAATAGCAGCTTGTCTGTCATGCTCTGCACCATACACTAAGTTAACGTTTAGGGAGCCAACGAAAATTTTAAGGTAGGCAAGGTCTCATGCAGCAGCAGAGCAAAGAACTAGTTTGTGTCTGTTTTAATGAGTGATCCAGAACAAGGGCAGTAAATATGCTTTGTTTATTAGAAATGGGCAAATGTCAAAATGACCTTGTGGCTTAAATCTCAAAACTTACTTTTTTATATTTCATTTTGGCTTTAGGGAAACTCGTTTCACCAAAATCTGGAGGAATTTCTTGAGATTTAACTCTGAAAAAAATGCAACATATTATACAGAATTTCAGATCCAAAGCACGTCTTCATTAAATTTTTGTTTTTCTTTCCTCTATGGGATAAAAATAACAAAGCCATTTAATGAAATTCTAGTGGAAAAAAAAAAAAAAACCCAAAAATAACCGTTTACCAAAAGTTGAGGCTCCCCCATGATGTGCTTTTTCCCCTCCTTAGTAAGTACCATCCTTACCTGTGGTAAGATTAATTTAAAGGTTCCGTGACCTAATCCACAAGAGCGCCTTACAGAGCAGGCTTTTCCTTGCAAGTAGATACGGCCAGTCAGGCCTGCCTGGCGCTTGGGAATGAGGTGGTGGAAAATGTCCTGTAGGTAAGATAGCTGAGGTGGCCAATGGCTGTTCTCAGCCGCTGCGTTATCTCTGACACCAGTGCTGTGTGGCTTCTAGGCATTTCCGGCACTGAATGCTTATCCCTTTTAGCCCTGTACTATGTTAAACTCATGTAAATTGATATATGGGGTCTGGGATAGCCAAGGTTTGCATATTGAACTTCAGCTGCAGCTGGGTTGTACCAGAAATCAAGTGGATGTAATGCCAGGGTGGTAGAGAGGTGGGATAACCACCACCTTCCATTTTGGGGGAGGGGTTAAAGTTATTTAATAGAGTTTTAGAAAAATACCTTCTTCCTGTTGATGGACATGCTTGGAAGGATGTAACCTCCAGTTCCTTGTTTGACGCAGAACGAAAGGTACTTCTGTACAGAGTGTTTCTGGTCACTGTTGCTGAGGTGGGTTCCAGTTTCTTGTGGTGACCCCTGGTTGGTGAATACCCAGGCACAGCCAGGACGGGTCACCCTGGGACGCGTTTTGGATGTGAAGGGTGGATCCAGGCTCCCCGCCTTTGGCTGTGCATGCAGGACCGCAGTTGCAAGTCCTGTATCTTGGGGCGTGAACAGTTCTGCCTTCGTGTTTTGTCTGAAGCATCTCTTCATCTGTAATGATAGACGTATATAATAACTATATGTATATGTCTATATAGTCACACATATGGAAATATATATATTTATAAAAACACAGATCTGTGATTCAGATGTCATGTTAAGATGAGAAAAGACCATCATTTAAAAATGCAACTTTATAAAATCTGCTTACAAAAGCAGTTATGTGTATCCTAGTGGAAAAGCACACCAGATATTTTCAACTGTGTCATGAGTCTGAAGATGGGAAGCAAGATGGAAGAGCTATCTAGATGGTTGTCCATAGATGACTGTAGAGCTAATATGAAGACACAAAGAGAAAAGACATTTTTTTCTTGATAGAAAACCTGGAAAACAAATGTAAAAAATGGCAAAATTACTTCTTTTCCACTCTGAGTATGCCTTTAAAATTATCATGTAGCAGGGAGCTATGCTGATCATTCTAGCAGTCTGCCAAGTGAAAAACTACCACATTATTGAACAGGGAGACAGACCAAGCCAGTTGTGCTGGAAAACACTTTTTGCCTCCTTGGAGAATTTCTGTAATGGCTGAACTGTCCCTGCCCCTCATTCCTGTGAATACTTCACACAACCAATATAACCCCTTCTGTCCATCCTCCCATCCATCCTTTGCTTTTCCTTCATCTCAACTTAATTGCAATGGCCTTCTGTGATTTGTAAGTCTGTGGAGTGTGTAATACACAAAAAGTACAGTTCCTGTAGCCACAACAGAAACCAGGTTACCAGAAATTTTGCAGAAAACCTTTTTTTGCATAGTTGATATAGCCAAATATCTACTGCTTTTATATACGTACATTCACTGTAAAGAATGTGCACAAAGCTCTGGGTATGTTTGTCTATGACTTTAAAAGAACAACCCAAAATAACAATGTTCCACAGGCATTTATTCTTCAGACCTAGTAACACATTTCTCATTCACTGACACATCACTGACATCTATGTGCAGCGCCTCGTGCCACGAGCAGCACTGAGGAGGGACGAGAGGGAAATATTCCTCGCTGGCTGGGAATGCCCCATGCAGATGAAGTAATGTAATCCCGAGCAGGGCACTCGGGCTTTTGCAATAAATGTTTGTCGTCACTACAGAGCTTTATATAACAGCAGTAAAGGCAAGAAAGGAAATTAGAAACACAGTCGAGACTGCATCTCATACTTCATAATGGCCTCAAATTCTTACTGTTTATTAAAACTAACACCCCTTGTCAGGGTGTTGATCAGAAATTCTCTACAGTCTCTGTTCTTTGATCTTTTCATTTTACAAACGGTAGATATTTGTTGCAGTGTCTAAATTTAGTTTTATGTCTGAAACATTGAAATTCTGAAGTACTTTGCAGTAATGTTGTGCGATAGGAAGTGACCCTGGATTCTTCCAGGTGGCAACGTGGCCGCCAGGCAGCCCTGCCCAGTGCAGCGCAGCCGAAGGGACCAGGGCGGCTCCAGCGCCGTCCTCGCAGACACCTCGCAGGGCCTCGTGCTGCTGCTGCCGCCCACGCAGCGCAGGGGCATAACACACTCTAATACACACATTTACCTTTTGTTTCTGCAGCTCCCTGGCTCCTGCACATGCAAACATTCGAATTTCCTGTTGGCTCAGAGGTGAGATTTATAACATTTATTAAAGTTGCCTTTCACTGTGAATTTACTGGGCAGAAAGCCTAAGAGGGTCCTTTTTTAGAGGGGTTTAATTACTTGAATTTACCAGAGGGGTGAACATTGTGCTTTCCTTGCAGCACCACTATCCACTAAGATTGCCAGGTGTTGAATTTCCCTAGAGGATGCCTGTTTGTTGAAGGAATTCATGAAATATCCACCTAGCCAGAGCTGGGGCTCCTGGCATCCCCTTCCTGTTCATTGTCCTGATTCTGTTTCCTCCATGGCTGCTTTGAATTTCTTGAGTGAATCCATTCAGTTCCGTCCATTGGTGTGCAGAAGTGCCCTCCCTGCGCTCTGCCTGGCCACCTCGGCGGGGGAACGGGCCAGTGGTGCCTCCAAAAGGAACGTGCCCGAGAGCCCCTGGCTGGGGATGCGGCTGGGGGTGCACAGCGCTGGGACTATAATGAAAGCCAGGTCCAAGGGCAGGAGAGACAAAATGAGTAGGCAGAAGGGTGAAGAGCAAAGAGGTATTTTGCAATGTTTAAAATAATAATAAAAAACCCTATAAATAGCCCTTTAAAAATCCATGAATGGACTTCCCAACAGATGGCAGCCCTACTGTCAAGTGAGCCCAAAGGCAGGCAGACCATAATTGTTCGCAAGTGTATTGTTAAGGGAATTTACTAATTTACTGATGCAGCAGCCGCTTCAGTTGAAGAATAAATTGGAATATTTTGGTGCATTTTCTTTAAAAAGTCATCTGCTTTTAAGTCTATGTATTAAAATGACAGAGTCTTAAATGGGGGTCTCCTTTGCTAAACAAAAGATATGCAAATGACATTTCAAGATTTATATTATGATAAAAACCGAAACACAAAAGAGACATTATCTTGCAAAAATGTAAAAGTACATTGCTTCATGAGTCTATAATGATATAATGTGATGTTGATGTAGTTAAAGATGTCAGAAGGGAGACAATGACCTTAAAAGTTTAAGGCAGACACATTAATATTGATTGATTTTTAAGAGATTGAACAGCAAGAATATATCTATATATAGCCTGGATATTGGATTGTTTGAAAATTGGAGATGAGATACAGAACATTTTGGTCTTGTAATGCCTTAGACCTAATAGCAAGAACATGCTTTAAATGCAGCTATTTGTACTGCAAGAAACTGGACGAGGGTTTGCCTTGAATTTCGCAGGCTGTAGGCCAGTTTCTCATAAAGATCAGTGGTATTTGATGAAGCTGGGTGATCATTTCTGATTTAATCACAACACATTCAAAGCTTTTAACATATAGCCAGAAGTGGGCAAAGATGGATACTCATTAGAAGTAGCAAACAGCAAGATGTGTGGATGTCAGAGCTGCATCACCCAAATCTTTATCTAGTTTTACGGTGGGAAAGCCTACTATGAACCACCAGTATAGGAAAATAGCTCTAGTGGCCTGTTTAATAAAGCATAGTAAGCACAGAGTCCGCAAAGCACCTGACCTGAATGAGCAGCCAGAATCATAGAAAGTTGAGAAACTTGAAGGCAGTCAGGCTTGATTTCATCCTTTTTCTCTATAAATCTCATTTCTGAGAATGATTAACTGAAGGAGAGACATAAATGGCAACGTCTTGATCAAGGGAGCCTCTGTCAGGGTATCATCTAGATGAATTAGAAAATGAATGCTCAGGTTTCTGTGAAGGAAGACTAATGACATTAAGTGAAGGTGAAATAGAAAGGAACAGGATTACAGGCTGAAAATCATAAACTACTAGACTGCCCTGGCAAGAACCCAGTTTAGGATGAAAAACATCCTAAACTGGAACATAACTGGGAATATTAAGGAATGACTTTCTGTAGGGGACTGTTCTTGAAGTTGCTTAGGACTAAAAATGTCCTGCACCACTGTAGTCACTTTCTGGAAGCTTTCAAGACAGGTAAAGGAATGTTCTGGAAGTGTGCGAAACAGCAGGTGTTGGGAATGGCTCTGTGCACTACAGGTGTTCTGCATCTGAGGTGATTTCAGGGACTTACAGGGAATCTAGTCTTTCTCCTAAGTTGCTTTGTGGTGACTTGAATGTGGAGGCAAGCAGAATATGGGTAGTAGGAAAGAACTGCAACCAGAAAATGTTTATACAATTCAGTAAACTCATTTATAAGAAAGCAGGAGTGGCAGGACACTGGAAGGAGGGAAGATCATTGCTGAGAGCACAGGGGAATCTTGTGAGCAAGTGGAATGTGTTTGTCCAAAAAGACATTTCTCAGGAGGTAAGACTTGTGTTTGGGTTTGTTAAAAGGAATTTTAAAACAAGGTGGGGGGGAAAACCACAAACCAAAAATCTTTAGCAGTTAAAAGTGCAATCCTGGAAATTTAAAGTGTTATAGCCAAAATAAAATGCCAGCTTCAGCTGGAGTGCTGAACTGTTGGTTTAGTATTGACTTAGTCCTCTAAGAAACATCAATAATCTTAACAAAAGGAGCAGGACTTCCATTGGAAGGCTCCTAGGCTTCAGAGTCAGATCATAATACAGAAGAGCATTTCTGCAGCCAAGCACTTAGTGTGATCAGTACTAAAGCTATGAGATTAGCTAATGTACTTTTCTGTGATGTGCAAAGTGAATGCCGGGACACAGCATTGTACCTGACTGCAGTAGCATAAAGTTATGCCTCAGCAGCCTTCCATTTTAATGTAGGATTTTGAAGGTAGGAAAGAGGTCTCTGGAGTGTTGCACATCAGAAAGAAATTATTTAGAAAAGTAGGAAATACAGAAAGATTTTGAACTGATGCTTAGAAGAAATAAATGAGAGCAGTGAAGTTCTTGGCGTTCCTATTACACCCAGCCATATAGCAATAACTAAATGAAGCATGCATTGAAAATTTGGTGAGAGGCTTTTCTGTGTTTTAGTTCTGTTTGGCTCAGCAGGTGTGCTGCACTTTAGACTTCAGTCTCCAAGGCTGTCAATCCAACAACTTTCACAAGCATTATATTCACTTAAAAGCTGAAGGAGAAAAATAGAAAAGGGTGATGTTAATAGTACTTAGTGAGTAGGTAGCTTTCTGCCTCCTCAAAATGCAAACACGAGGTAATTAACAGGTACTTGGTCTCCCAGATGCAGGTGTATCTAAACAATGTTTAAGCAAAAAGAATGCAAACATGTATAACTAGCCTCTGCCCGGGCTAGTTATAGTTAGGCTTCACAGTTTCAAAGTTTAACATTGAAAATGGAGCATTTTTGATGCCTTTTTTATTTTGTGGTGATGCAAAGAATTCAGCTTGCATAAATCAGTACAGTGCATTTCTGCAGGGCCCCATCTTGACTGTGATTATGAACAATTTGTTGTGATAGCTTCAGACTTTACTTGACGAAATGCTTGCTGTTGGAAACAACTGACAAGTTACCAGAAGATGTGTTGTTGAGAAATGGCAAAATATGTAGTTGTGCTGTGTAGCTGTGCCCATGCAGCAGCTAGTCAGGCTGCTAACTTGGAGCCTCTGCAGCGCCTGCTTCCAGCTCCATTAGCTCCAGAGCCTACCTGCCCTGCATTAGGCACTAGGAATATGGGCCACAAGGGCTTAAGCTCCTGGATAGATACCAGTCTAATCTGCTTGTTTAGAAAGTCCAAGGTCTTAGGAAATGAACAGCACAAATAAGGGAATCGGCAGTTACTAACAGAAGTAAAATTATTCAGGGGAGGAAAAGAGAGAGACTGTTTCTGAAAGAATGAGACTACTACTTGTAGACTTAGAATGGTGTTGACAGATGTGCTTTTTCCCACTTAAAAGTTCAGCAGTGTTTTCAAAGCTGCAAGGAAAATCTTAAGCCAATTTGATAATTAAAGAATTCTTCTGGGCCTTTGAACTACCAAGGGATATAAATTTAGATCAGCTAGGATTCACAGCAGAGCTTGCTGGCACATTTGGCCATTTCACTCTCCTTTTTTCTTAGGCCATTATGACTTTAGGATGGCAAATCTGTCAATTTTGCAATTTTTTCCAGTAATACAGTTTTGGCAGGAGCTGAGGTCTGTGCTGTGTTGGACTCGTGCACTGTTAGGTAACCAGGGCATGGTCCATTTAAGAGACACACAGAAAGCTTTTCAACGTTACCGTGTTATAGCCTGTCTCTCCATGCTGAGCTCAGCTGATGAAAACAGAGGGGGTGTGAAAAGGCTTCTTGATAAAAGTCTGTTTAGATTTCATTACTATGTCCAGCCATATCAAGACAATATGGGTTTTAGGAATCCTCTCAAAGAGTCTTGTTTGAAAGTACTTTTCTTTCTTGCACTGGGTCCCTTTCCCAGCTTCACCCTTGCAGTGTGTGAACAGGGCTGGCATCTGTGGTCTTTGAAGAGCAGCAAGAATGAAGGCTCTCTTCTCTTCACAGAGAATAAAAGAGGAAACAGGGAAGAGCAGCAGAAAAGGTGCCCTGCTCAAGGCTGGGGAGTCTTGCATCCTCACATATATTTTGAGTAAATTTGTCAGTCTAAGCTCCCTGCTTTTTCCTCTTCCTTTTCTTTGACTGTTACTACCGGGAATGGGAATTCCTGTGAGTTGCAGGAGGAATGAGGGTGCCTGGAACGGAGGATAGAAGAGCTGTGGCGGTCTTGGAGGCTGCTGGGGTGAATACAATGAGAGCCCTGGGAAAGGGCGTAACTAACTGAGGGTCTGTGAGATGGACAGCGGTGGGACCATTCTACTCTACTCATGCCACTTGGTGGTTCACGAAGCTGAGGTCTACCCAGCTTTGCTAGTCCTATATGTGGTCACCAGTGGTACCACTGTGGTACCAGCCACCGTGCGTGGCTGTTGCATTGTGCCCAAAGTATCTCGCTGATGAGATCTAGGAAAGCTTTATAGCAAGGCTAACTGCAAGAGAGCCTGCAGTCAGCCCCAGAATAACTTAGAAAAATAATCTTTTTAATCTTACCTTCCCCCCACTTTACCCCTTTGTGACGTCTTTGGCTGCTTGATGAGCTCTCATTTGTAACCAGTCAAAGGACCTCAGTGATGTTTTGCAGATCACCATGAAAGCCCAATTCTAACTTGTGACAAATTTGGCATGCAAACTGGAGAGGTCTTTTTCTCCACAAAATTAGCTGGTGCAGGATTTTCTCCACAAAATTAGCTGGTGCAGGATTTTTAGAAACCTTAACCTACCTTCATTAAGATTTGAGCATTTAAAAAGCTTTAACAAATATCTTACGAAGGCCCTCAGAACATTAAAAAGACCACAGCAAAGGAGATCAGTGATGAATATAGAGAAGTCTAACGCCCTGTATCAGCATTACATTTATCTGTGTATGTTTATATGCACACAACAACAATAAAACATACCTACTCACAAGTGACATTAAATGCTTGCCTAGAAGCTAGGTCAGTCCTGTACACCTTGTATTCCACTGTGTTACATTTTCAGTACAAATTCTAAGTAAATGCAAAAGGTTAGTAAAAACTGATTTTTCACTTGATTTTTTTTTCAGTTGTCCACTTGTATTCTCTAAATACCTCTCAAGTCTTATATGATCCATGACCTAACTTCATAAAAAGGAAAATTAGTCAGAGAGGAACATGTTTAAGATAACACATTGTCATGCACATATTTTGCATCATTATTGAGTGAGAACATAATACAGTTAATGAGAACCTTCTTCCATAGCATAACTTCTTTGTCAGCAGGAGTCAAATGTAGTCCTTTTCTTCTTGTGTTATGTCATGGCTGTGGGTGTTTTGTTAAGTGTCTGCAATACGTAGCCCCATCAGGAGGTGTAAAAGGGTAATATTTCATTTATTCCATCACTGCAGTCTTTTAATACAGAATTACACTAAAAAAAAAAAAAATGAAGTGGTTAGTGATGTAGTCATTGAAGTCAGTATGACTTTTGAAAATGATTTCAATCGGAGGAGGACTGTTTACTGTGACTGTGTCAACCTAGTTAAAGATGAACACATTTAAATAATGTATTGCACCTATACTTTTAAAAGATCACTGCACAAAGTGCTCTGCAAAAGGACAGAGAAAGAGATATGTTCCCATTACTGCAAAATTTACCTTGCGAATTTTGCTTCTATTTAAAACAGAAAAATGCAGGCTTGTTTTCTATATTAATATTTATTTAAGCTGTCTTCTGATATACTGCCTTTCTGATGCTACATGGTGGTGTTCTGCACTGCTTCCCAGAATAAGGGCTAATGTCCTGCTCTGAAAATTATCCATTAGAATTTTATCAATTTTGTGTTTTGGTGAGACAGTATGAGGAAATGCCATCGGAAAATTAGATTCCTCTTTGACATCAGGCGCCCAGTCAGCAATCGAATCCCATGTGTTTCTACTGAGACATTAGGATTTGATATAATTTTGGGCAGAAAACATTTTAAAACGAAACAATTGAATTTTCTAGACGGTTGTGGGGACCACTTAGCTTAAGAGAATACACTTCCAAATCAAAAGCCTTTCAATCATTTTAAATATTATTTGGATGATATTTGCTTTATGTGTAGTAGCAGTTTGAATTTGTATTGAATGTTTGACTGGCTCGTGCTTGCATAGATGATGTATGAAATTATTATTTCATATTTTTCTAGTGTTTGCATTGCAAGTGACATCTGGCTGACAGGAACTTGGAGAAATGGGATACGAAGTGAATGCTGCAGTTACCACAGCATCATATTTATCAAAAGGCTTAAGGTTGGTCTGTCTTTGTTTAACATATGAAGCTCACAGCAATGAATAAGAACACATTTTTTTTTAAACTGAACTGCTTAGAAAATGAAGTTAGGTGAAGGAAAATGTTAATAATATTCTTCTGATTAATGAACTAATTGATGTATAGCATCATGTATACTGCTTGAAAGGCAGCTTAAACTTTTCTATTTGCTACTATCCCTTTAAATATTGGTTAATGTTATATAATTCACACAGCATATCACGGAGACAGGAGAGTTTGGAATAAACTGCAGTCTGCGACTTTCTTTCTAGGCTTAAAGTCTTCAGCTACCCAAGCCTAAAAATGGGTTTATTTCTAATTGCATGTCATTTCTGTCTTTTGAAATGCTGTCTTCAACCAAACTCCTACTGATACTTTTTCATGAAGCTCTTGATGTTTCATTTGTCTGTTACTAAACTGCAGCTTGTTAGAATTTAATATGTGATTTAAAAATGAGACTTATTTTTATAGCTCAAAATATAGTTTGAAAATATGTGATTCTCTGTTTAGAAATACTACTTTGACCTTTAAGAAAAGGCAAATTGCAAAATGAATGCTGTTCAGGAGGAAGGTCTGCCTCAGTGCTACAGAGCCATGACAAAAGGCAGAGTCTGGATGATGTAGTGGGGAACACAGGTCTGGCCATGCTCTGGCAGGGAAGAGGAATTAGCCATATTGCTCTGACAAGAAGGGTCTCTAGTACGGTCATTGATGTTGCTGTTTTGAAATCTTTCACCTGTAGTGATATTAAGGCTGTGAATTCTGTGGGAAGGCAACCCACCCGCCCACACCTTCCTGTCACCTTCAGCCATCTCTCTGAAGGCAAGAACTGGGAGAGTGTTGTACTGGAGGGTGTTCAGAGGAGAAGCAAGAAGAGAAGGTGTAAAGCAGATGGGGGTAAACAGACTGAGAGCGGAAAAGGCAAGGCTGCTTAAGAGAGACAGAGAGCTGTCAAACTATAAGTAATTCAGAAATAATTGCACCTTTACAGCTGCCAAGTGATGGGCTGATCAACAAAGTTATCAAGCTGAGAGCACTTAGCATCTTCCAGGACTTGCAGAACACATCCTTCTTTTTATACAAATAGAAAATCCAACTTCGTGGTCCAATTAATTGGAAGAAAGATAAAATGACAGATATTTTCCTTTAGCTCTACCATGACGAGGCCTAGTTGAATATTTTCAATTAAAAAGGCAAGAAAAACAAAAAGGAAATGCTTGAAAACTGTTCAAAATGAGGATGATTTTGTTCCCCTGAATGAACCTCAGAGGACCATATCTGTTTGCTTTTGACACAGGGAGTTGGTTTGCTTTGTTTAGCATTGTGGTGGTAACTATGCTGTTAAACCAGTCAGCCAGTGTCTTGCTCCACTTTACAAATTTTAGTGTGGTCCTTTATCCTTGGTATAATATTGGAACTTACATTGTTGTGATAAATCATTTTTAAGAACATACGGTCTAGGAAACAACTCGCTGTGTTCTTTAAGATTGTCCTTTTTTTTAGTTTGACTAGTAAAGATGTACTCGATAATTTGCACCTACAGTCTGCTTTGCAGAACAAGACTAGATCAGACTTTCTGTTGTGGTCTTTCAAACCATCCTCTGTGGTGAAAGGCAGGTTGGTCAAAAGTCTCATCTACCAAATGCCAAATTCTGGCACATCCTCCTTCTGAGGTGAAGATGAAAGTGAATAGTGCTCCTCATAAACAGCCTTTCCTTCTCAGGAAGAGATGAATTGCACCTACATGTGCAACTATTACACAGAAACTAAGTGGTCCATGTGAAGCTCAAGAGAAAGTGAATCAAATACTAGTAAGTTTTTTAGGTGTTTTTGTACAAATAATGTATATAAGAGCTAGAGTATTTACTCTTATTTAAAGACTAAAATTAGTAGTAGTTGTGATAGATTGAGGAACTGACAGTGACGTTTCAATATGGTAGCAGAACTTGAATATGGTTTTAAAAATTCAGTTAGTGGCAAGTAAAAAGCATATGGACACAAGCACAAAGGCCAAGCCATGAACCAGAAACTATTTATTTATTTATTATAAGAGTTTTGTTTCTGGTTCTTCCTTGTAAAAGAGGCTGAAAATAAATAGCAGTCCTGAGCTATGGACCCATAACAACAAAAGCACTCCAAAGAGGGTGGAATGGAAAGGAAAGAGGAGATCTCCCAGGACAGCTCACACAATGCTGATAAATAAAGTCATATTTTGTAGTTCACATTTTGTGTTCTCACATGCAGGAAAAAGTATAATTGAGACCAATTCCCCAAATGACAAGAGTCCATTTAAAGCTGAATTACAATTGACAGTAAAACATTTTTAAAGAAATCTAGTCCTTTCTTTGTTATTAACTTTGTTTTCTCTTTTGTGCCAAAGAAAGCACAACAACATAGAAAGAAAGTGTAAGGGAATAATGACTCTCAGCTCCAGGAAAAAAACAGCAGTGCTGAGACTGCTGGTCTGCTACACGAGCACCCCCAAACTAGTGGAGGCGGAAGGAGAGTGGGACTCGTGATCTGACTCGTCTTTACTGTGCGTTCCATTCCGTATCTTTTCTGTCGCTTTTTCCCCTTTCTCTTGCCTTGCTGCCTCCATCAGCTCTTTGCTTGCCGCCGTGGGCCCAGTCCCCAGCACTTTATGCACTAGTTGTAGCTCTGCCTTCGCCTTTGGCCTCACCCCGCTGCGCTCCAGGGCACCTGAGGGAAGGGCGGGGCCTGCGCAAACATGGCCGCCCGATGGCAGCGCTAGTGACTTTGTACAATTGTTTCTTCTCCACCCCATAATTTTTGCCTCTATAAGTTTTCTGTGGTTTTAGTACTGTGTTTTAATTGTCTAGATACTTCTAGAAGAGTCTGTTTTGGGTCCATTTTAATAAAATTATACTTTATATGCATATCTGGTTAGAATAAACCTACCCTGCATGCTCTGCAAATGATCAAATAGCATTCAAAACAGGCAAATTTATAATGTGTAGGCTGCTGTAAAGATGGTAACGCCTGTGAATTCCAGTGATGTTTTTATTTGGTTGTATGTCCCTCACATTATATATGTGCGTATCTGTGTGGACCAATCCCATTCCAGTCCCAAATCCCACTTTCCATATGACTGTAACTTGATTCCTATGGTCATCAATTGGAACAATCCCATTCTTCTGCTGCTCCAAAGTCTGAACTCCTTTGGAAACACTGTGTTTCTCCAACCAAGAAGCTGGCTATGACTCAGCTAGCAAAGACCCTGACATCCCAGAGAGATCCAATTTCACACCTAAAATGAGGCAGAATTTAGATCATTATACCCTAACAGCAGCCATGGGGTTGGAGACTGCTGAATTCCCATGAGAATGCCTGTCTGCCTGCCTGCCTTTTAGCAAACATCTCCTTTTCTATCAGCAATCGGTTCAATACTTTCAAAGTAGTTCTTCCTTAGTCAACGGACTGCAGTAGTTCTTCCTTAGTCAACGGACTGCAGTATCTTATCATTTGGAGGCTTTTGGTTCCTTCGTGAATGAATACTTCCAGTGGATTACATTTAGAATCTATTAACTTGGATCTTCCAAAGATGAAAAGGCTTCTGTATGTGATCATATTTTATTATTTCTTCCAGTTTGATACTATTGCATGCTTAGGATGATGGAACAGAAATCAAATTTCTATCTAAAAACAGGATCTTGAAATAGAAGTCCTTCTTATGAGATTGTCAGCTTCCTGGGAATGACTCTTATGCTCCTCTTTACTTTATGGAGGCCTTTCATTTGAATTTCTGCTTTTCAGGTTGTTTTGGGCCATTGCTGTCTTTTGAGAGTTGCTCTGATGGTTGGCTCGATTGGCTTTCGATAGACAAGCTTTTAGGTTCAGATCTGTAGGGGTCTCAAGTTCTCTCACTGTTCCACCTGCTTTTTGGCTTGTGTGATTTTTTTTTTTTTTTTTTTTTTTTTTTTKGTGGGTGATCGATACCAATGTTTTCCAGAAAATTGAACGACTTCACCCACATTTCTTCCATATTTCCCAGCTGCAGCTTTCCAAAGAATGAATTGAATGGCTTTGCTAATTTATGGCTGCTATAGTGGAAAAGCAGTAAGAGGTGTTGCTCTTTGTGAGCACCTTCAAATGTGACTTTATCTTAGAGATCTTGCTGTATTTGTATTTTAAAGAGTACAAAAACATTTACACTGTCTTGTAAAGAAACAAAAAGTGTTCAGACTACTCATGCTCTAACTACTCTGAAAATAGATATACTATGCATTATCATCCATGTATTAATGCCCAGAATACCTTTCTATGTAGGTGCAGATCCTTGCTCATCTATATTATGCCTAACTCTTGCAAAATATAAAAATATTTTTATGAGAGGAGCTGTTAGGAAGCTATGTGCTAATGCATGGCACACTTGTATAAGCTGAATGTCTAGCTCTGGGGATCAGATCCAAACATGTGGGTCCAGGCTACGGGAGTTGCAGCACTTGTTCATGAACAGGCAAACTGGCTCTGTTGCTGGTTACAGCACTCCGACCCAATGCTCCAATGAGGGCAGAACTGCCTTGTTAGCTATTTGCAAAAGGTTTAAGGTGCATCAGTCTCTCTTGAAGTTCTGTGTATAAACAAGACCTCTGTCATTATTTAGTTGCATTTTCTTCAGACTTTTCAACTGATACGCCTTTTTTTGGCTTTATTGTGCAGATGATGATGATGGTGTTTGGCAATTCATGTTACAATTCTTCAGACCATAAGAGGTTCAGTTGAACATTTTTCTTAAAAAAAGAAAAAAAACCACTTTGTTTCTAATATCCTTTTGCAGTCTATTCTTTCTTTTTTTTTTTTTTTTTGCAGTACTACATAGTAGAAACAACAGATCTATAAGGATATTTGATATACACGTGCACGTGGGTGCACACACACGTGCCTATATACATATATATGCGTGCATCTTTCGTTTGTTGTTCTTTTTGGATGATGGGCTTGTGAAGGAATCTATATACCA